ATCAATGAGTAATTGGTTGGCTTTTAATTTGAAGGAGACGAAGACTTTGGAGTGCAGGAAAATGGCTTTAGTGTCGTTGCATGTGAAAAGGAAAAGTGATACAATGTTATGTTTTTAGTCTGGATTTCATTAAAAAAGCCAAAAGCAGGGACCCATCGCTGACACATGATTGGTCTTTTAGTTAATAAAAGAAATTAAGCATGATGATCAAAATCTCTGAATATGCGTTCGTGGTTTTGTGTGTGTATGTCGTGTTCTGAACAATCCAAAGATATCCAAAGAGACAGGATGTTATACAGACTGCAGGAGCTCTGGGATTATTTTACATTACTGTTATTACTACATACCAAGAATATCTCTTTTCTGCATCAATTCACTTCCCAGAAGAAAAAGCAACGGTGGAACGAGTCGAAGGCAAGAACACAGACTAGATAATTATTTATTTTATTGCTATGTGCTCCCCATTACAACAAACAGCATCAGTAGTGTACACTTCAATCTACACAAATACATAGTAAAGCAAATAGAACAGAGAGTGACTTGCGTTCATGACAATCCAATACTTCAATGCATGGACAGCACAGGGGTATTGATACAGTACATGGAAAATCCTATGCAATAACAGCTGTCTGAGGCTCAGGGATTGTCAAAGTAACATCTACGGCTACTCTATTTATCATTACAAGCTCTCTATAGCATTAGCAGCAGTGTTTATAGGCAGCAAGTAAATGATGTGAAAAGAACTGGGGAGAAAAATGAAAATACTGTCAACTACAAACAGCATAAAACAGCTTTACTGGTACTACGCTACTCATGTTTTATCGGTTAAAATAAAGCATCTGTCTGGTCAGTTCACGCTGCTGTGTTGCAACGACTCGGATAAAGACTTCTACAAAACAGCTGTGAAAAAACAGCTTTCTGACAAGTAAAACATCTCAAAAATGAGCATGTATATTTACATCTAATTGTTTGCAAAAACAATGTCATTTCTAGTCTACTGTGTTTGTTAACAAGCACAAATCTTCTTCCAATGTGAAAATATGACCGGAGAAAGAGGTGATCAGTTTTCAATGGTTTATCCAATGCAGCTTATCGGCCGGCTGCTGCGCACGCTGTGACAACAAAGCAGAACCCTTTAACTTTCAATAAATATTTATGCACTCAATGCTATATACATGTTCTATACATTGGCACACAGGACTGAGTGTGGATAGTTGCAAGCTATTTCTTTGCTGAAAACACAAATCTGTGCCTTTTGCTATTGCAGTCAGATGCATGGTGGTTGCAAGGAAATCCACTTATAAATAAATAGCTTTCTCTCTCCAAAACCTTTTTCCACCTTAATAAAAAAGCCATTTAGAGAATACTTTGGAAAGAAAGATGTTCCACATACAGTAAGTCTTTTTTTAAAATTCCAGCTTATTGTACTTACAACAAAGCTTTGTTCCTGCAAACATAAAACGTACCAGAGAACCTTGTTCAGGCTAATGATGAAGGGATCTAATGAGCTCCAAGGGCCATTAAGCAATTTTTAAATTGGCAGACTGTGAAAGGGTTGCTCAATTTTCCAAGCTCAGTACTGACAGATTACATTGTTTTAGCTCTTCATAAAAAAGCTAAAAGCACAGCTGGAACAAACAGCTGGGTGGTGAAGACAGTGAGAGATGGCGGGGACTCCTGAGCTAAAGTTGGACTTCATTGCACGGGGAGAATATTTAATGTGTCTAAAAGTTAAAGATAATGTCTGCATCGCTGTATTTGTTTTTTTGAGTTTGTCTGGTCCCTAGTGTACGGAAGAGAATTAGGGCCAGTGGAAAAAAGAATCTGAGAAAAAAGTCAGAATTCTGAGATTAAAGTCGGAATTCTGAGATTAAAGTCGGAATTCTGAGATTAAAGTCGGAATTCTGAGAAAAAAGTCGGAAGTCTGAGAAAAAAGTCAGAAGTCTGAGATTAAAGTCGGAAGTCTGAGATTAAAGTCGGAATTCTGAGATTAAATTCGGAATTCTGAGAAAAAAGTCGGAATTCTGAGAAAAAAAGT